TGTAGAGCTGGAAGCTGAGAACTGGCGACTTTGTAGTACAACTTTAGCACGCGGAGTATCTGGCAAGCTGGACGATGAGAACTGGCGACTTTGTAGTACAACTTTAGCACGCGAAGTATCTGGCAAGCTGGGCGATGAGAACTGGCGACATTGTAGTACAACTTCAGCACGCGGAGCAATCTATGCAGCTAGAAGCTGAGGACTGGCGACTTCGTAGTACAACTAGAGTTGTACTGGCGAACAGTGTAGTACGCGGAGGAGTCATCTCTCGCTGCTCATTCATCTCTCGCTGCTGAGTCAGCTCTCGCTATAGCCATCTCTCGCGGCTGAGTCATCTCTCGCGACTGAGTCATCTCTCGCTGCTGAGTCATCTCTCACGGCGTGCACGTTCAGTTCATACTGATAGTATTTGGTTGCAGTTATGCAGGACAGGACATTCAACTGCTGGTCAAGACACCACTCGTCATACACCATTCAACATACACCACTCATCATTCATCACTTGTCATACACCCCTCATCATACAAGACTCATCATACATAGTCTCAGAGTTCAAGACAGATTTTACATTCAAATTCGGATTCCATTCAGTCCGATGTGTGATATGCAAGGTTTGCCGCCACTGAAGAATGCCACGGTGGGATGTGTGTGTCGATGTGGACCGCATCCTTGGCAAGTTGAAGTTTGTGGCATACTCTCGCCTGCCATGGAAGCCGCTGGACTGGAAGACACACAGTCATGACTACAATTTTGGAGATATCACTGCCTGGCCACTGGATGCCAGCTGCATTACCTTGGGAGGGGATGCCATCTTCCTCGGTAGTGTCAAAGCGGCTGTCAACATTGAAGCGGTGGAGGTGGAGTACACGACAAAGATCTCCCATGTCGTGACCCTGTGTGGGAACGAGATCCAGGTGCGCGGCGCGCCGTCAGATTTGCCCACCTATTTTGAACGTTGTGGCGTCGCTCATATCTGGTGGTTCATCGAGGATCCCGCAGTCAAAGACCCAAATACAGAGCTGGCGAAGCATCGTCAGTCTGCCGGTGAATGTTTAGCTTTCTGGAAAGATTTGATGCATGTTCTTTGGGATGTGGCCTCCTACTACTGGAACCACGACATCAGGTTTACGCCTTTGTTTCATTGCTTTGGAGGCATCAATCGCAGTACCGCCGCGCTTTGCGCCTGGCTGGTGATCTGGTGGGATCTCAGTGTCGAGGATGCCATTGACTGTGTGCTCCAGCAGCGTCCAAGCCTGAGACCGTGGAAGCGACGAGCATATGTCTTGTATGCACTGCGATCCTTGGAGCATCACAAGCATGCCTGGCGTTGGGAATTTGAAACGTCGTGACCAAAGTGTCGACAAAAAGCTGTGAATTCGTGGCCAAACTGGCTAGAAGGACCTGGGTCCACGACCGGAAGTTGTTCGAAGTCGGCCCTTGTTCCGACTGAATGTGCAGAGACCCCATGAGGAACGGGATCCACGACCGAGAGTTGTTCGAAGTCGATACTGTTCCGACTGGGTGCGCGAATATACCTGATAACCGATAAAATTGTGCAAACAGAGCTCTATAGACATCTTTTTTTTGTTCGATTGTTGGACTTGAATGATATTCTTTGCTTGTTGTGATTTGACCTGAAAGACCAGTTTCGTTTCCAGAGACATTGAGTCTTTTGAACAGGTTGAGCGGCAACAAGTGGGACCAAATGAAAGTGGACACCACGCAATGGAATTCCAGGAGGCCGGCATGTCGATGCCACATATAGTCACCAGCCACGAAGTTACAAGTATCGGCGAAAAGCTGTGAATTGGCTATTGCAAAGTGTCGTGACCAAACTGATTAGAAGGACCTGGGTCCACGACCGGAAGTTGTCCGAAGTCGACCCTTGTTCCAGCTGAACGTGCAGAGACTCCACAAGGCACGAGATCCACGACCGAGAGTTGTTCGAAGTCGATCCTGTTCCGACTGGGTGTGCAACTATATCTGATAACCGACAAAACAACATGAGTTGAACTGTGGGTAATTTGTTTTGTTTTTCAAGTGTTGCATTTGTATGAGCATTGGTTGTCCTGATGCCAGGTTGGGACGTGCGATTTCGCACACTTCGGCGGCTCTTACTACCGGGACTAGCGTTTGAGCTCGACCGGCGCTGGATAAAAAAGAATCGACCGGGACTACCGTTTGGGCTCCGAAGTACAGTGCAACAGAATATACATTAATAGATTTGGTAATAACGTGATAATAGTATCATAATCATAATGTATATATATATATATATAGATATATATATATATCACAGCTTAAACGCGCCCTTTAAAGGCCACAGCAAGGCTAAAGTGCCAGCGAATTCCTCTACCTACAGGAGGACTGACCGAAACAGGGTGATCCCACTCACCCTATAGACATAGGAGACATTTACCACAGGCTCCATGGAGCCTGGTAAGGGCATCGCCCAACCACCTAACCTCCCCTTGCTGAGGGAATCCACAGCCCACACCCCGCGCACAAACACTGGACAGGCAATCCGACCAGGCAAGCGGGAGGAGAGGGAGGGAGCAAAACACTAGAGACAAACGAGAAACTAACTAACTAACTATGATATAACATCGCATCCCTACTCATTCGCTACACTACATTCCTAGGTGCTGCTAATTCCTATATCACAGCTTAAACGTGCCTTTTAAAGGCCACAGCAAGGCTAAAGTGCCAGCGAATTCCTCTACCTACAGGAGGACTGACCGAAACAGGGTGATCCCACTCACCCTATAGACATAGGAGACATTTACCACAGGCTCCATGGAGCCTGGTAAGGGCATCGCCCAACCACCTAACCTCCCCTTGCTGGCACACCCAATTTAGCGGGCACTCACAAGACCATTTTGAGCCTGCGCCCCTGACGAAGTTGCTTGCAAAAAACAGTGGCCTTTGCCACAAAAGTAGCTAGCTGCATGTTAACGTGAGGTGGAAAGTGCATTTGAATAAGTGCTGCTCGGCCCGAATCCAAGTATAAACGGGCGGTCTTGACGCTGTTCCACCGCCCCAATTCAACCAGAGAGTCGAAAGAAACTCCCTGGGCAAATGCGTGAGAGGCTCCTCCACGCCTGATGCTGTAAGCAGTAAAGCCAACCGAGGCTAGGTTTAGAGTATCTAAAAGCAAACGGAGGGCCTGACGGAAGGCCGGGGTCGAACCATCCCACATGAAAGCAGATTCAGAGCGCTCCCAGGCGAAGCTAAGTAAAAAAGGTAGCCAAGGGTCACGAATCAAGATACTCTGGGGGCGCTTGGGCGAAGTCTTCGAAAACGGAATTGCGATAACCACATTGGGCTCCCCTGGTTTCCAGCTGACATGATCAAACCTAAGGGAGGTCATCTCACTGGTTCGCAGGAGGGCTTTGTACCCAAGAAGCAACAAAGCGGCAAGCGCATGCTCCCGCACCTCAAGCGCTGCCCCGGCAAGGGCCAATACCACATTGGCTGGCATGGGAATTGCCTGCCTGGGCACGTGCTCAGAGGTCCAGTTTGAGAACCATTGTTTGGCAATAGGGATCTTGAACCGCGACTGGGGCACAAAGCGGCGGAAGGCACTCAACAAATGCCCTGCGTAAGAAATTGGGGTATCGTCCAAGTATAGGGACTCCAGATATTGGGCAATCAAGCGATCAAGGTGGTGAAACTTTGAGGGCATTTCAATCTCTTCATCTTCAAGATACGAAAAGAAAGCTGATAGGGCGCGACGATAGGCTGCAACTGTCTTTTTGGCTAACCCGGCATAGCGAAGTGTCTGTGGGGCCTTAGGCATCACCTCACCGTCTGGAAGGTCTGTCAGCAAAGTTCCATGCTGACAGAGTCCAAATCGGTAAAGTATACAGGTCGCCTGCCAGGGATATAGCCGCCAAACGTCGCAGGACTCGATTGAGTCTAGTGGATGGAGAGCGCCCTTTGCCGAGCGCATAGTAGAGTACCTGACTGTCCACGACCACAAACACCCTTTTGTGGCGCATGTCAGGCTCCCGCAGCACTCGGCGAATGTGGGCCAAAAAGGCCTGAAATTCCAACTCATTGATATGCCCTTCCTGTCGCCATCTGAATGACAGCACGTCACGCCACAGCCATCTATAGGCTGGGTACGGAAACAGTTGCCGTCCTCCCTGTTCCTCGACGGCCAACCTGACATCTGTGCCACGATAGTGACCCAGGCGAAGAAGTTGCTGTAGATGAGCTTTTTCGAACCCAATTTGCATGGTCCTCTCCATATGCAAGATGCCACTGACCACCTTTTCCTGCAAGCCCGGACTTTGCAGCCGGTCATATTTCATGAGGTCTTCTCTGATCTTCACCTTGCGCACTTCGGCAAGGGCTTCTTCCCTGTGCTCACTCAGGTTCATGAGGTTGACGGCTGCTTTGGCGTACTCCTCACACAAACCCCAGGGGTATGTTGCTTCTTGCTCCATTGGGAACACCACCTGGCCAAGCTGCTGATCCCAGTACGGCGGGTAATCCTCCCCATCTCCGTGGGGGCAAACAGGCTTGTGAAGGGCTTGGTAGATGGTCTCGCTGTTGGTCAGTAAGCTCGTCCACTTTTTGCGCCTTCCCCCATAACAGCAATGGGAGAAGATCGCCATCCTCACTCCTGGAAGACCTGCCAGGTCTATGGCTGGCTTGGTATACCACATCCAAGAGCGCCGGGGGTGATCCAAGGTGAAGAAGCGACCTTCTTCGTGGAGGGTCCTGCACCTCGCGATGGATCTCATTGCCATCTTGTTTCCTTTCCTCACCGCTGCTGCGTCATGCGCTGCTAGGTAAGTGAACCCCATCACGTGGCTTTCATCCCTCAGTGCCACTGGCCCCTCATACCATTTTCCGGCAAACTGATAGGGCCTACCTCGCGCCCTTGAAAAGGTTTTGCTGTCCGGAGCGTGATGCTCAAGGGTTGGGTCTGATGCATCGGCGTGGGCCCACCATTCTTTTCCTCTCTCCGTGAATACATCCATAGTGCTGTCCCACTTGTAATCTATGGGGTCAACCACTCTGAATCCAGCCTTAAACATGGTTCTCGACAATCTGGCCTCTGGACCACTGTACCTCTCCGAAAACAATGGAACTCCTACCGCTTGATGCGGGCAATAAGGCGCGTGCCTCAAGCAGCACTCCAAAGAGCAAAGTTTGCACCCGCACATCGCGGGGCAGGCCAAGTCTTCTCCACGGGCTGTCTCATCCGTGAGCTCTGTCCGGCACACCCCACACACCAGGTCATTTGGGCTTGTGGTCCCAAACGGGCGCTTGAAGCGCTCGGCTACGCACGACCCGGCCCCCATTGGACTGGCGTCAGTGGCATAGATTCTTCCACAGATTGAGGCCTTGAGGTTTGTGAAACTCAAGGGCAGCAAGGCCATCGCCAGCAAGACCTCATCGTAGGCATCATCTTTTGCCACTTTGGATGTAGGCTTGCTGCCGAAGTAATGGAACACCTCGCTCATCAGTGACATGGCTGGCCTTCGAAATGCACCGGCGAAAACCAATCGCCCTGTGAGCCCTGCCACCACTCTAGTTTCCCATGTCCGGGATCCCAGCAGGCACATGCAAGCTTCGATTGTAAAGGCCCCTTTGTCCGGGTGCAGCATGAACACCCCTGCTTCTCCATCAAGGAGACCCCCCTGTAGGGTTCCTCTTAGGGCCCCCGCCAAACGCTTGCTCATATTGGTAGGCAATCCGCACCGCCGGCATGCCTCTTCAAAACGCTGGTGCTCAGGGCTCGCCTGTCCTTCCACTACCTTTCTCATTGCTTGGCTGACCGGCCTCAACTGATCCACCGAGTCCAAGTAAAGTAAGAAGCGTTCTCCCTCAGGGAGCTCCTTGTTCTTTTGAATTTCAAACTGTCTGGGGAGTCCAGCTTCCTCAAACGCGAGAGTCCTGATGGCTTGTTGAACAATCCCCACTGCGGAGAGCCATCCCATAGGCACCGTCCTCAGCGACACCCATGTCATCTCATCGTGAGGCAAGCCAAGGACTCCTCCTCTCACCTGCTTGCGGTACACGAACATGCCACGCCATCCCCGTGGCATCTCAAACAAATTGAAGGCCGACTGCAAATCCTCACTGTCTATAACTATGGCTCCTTCGGCCTCCAATTCACAAAGCCCCACCTGGCCCACATAGGGCAAGGTCGACTCATCTCCTTCAATTTTGCGGCTCACCGCATTCAATGGACATAAAATAGATATAAATCTTTGCAAGATCTTGCCATTCTTCTCTTTTGGGACTGCTCCGGCCCCATTCAGGATCATTTCACCGGAGGGGCTTCTCAAGATCTCTTCCTCCGGGCAAGGCTGAAAAAGACCTAGCTGATACCCCTCTGCCACGAGCCTCTCCCACTCGGCATCCGAGGCCCGCACATACGACTGGGGTACCGTCTCTGGCCATTCTTCCGCCGGAAGGATGGTGAGCAGTGGTTTGTTTACCATCTCCTTTGTGTCACCATGTAAAAACTTGGTGATGGGCTGAACGGCAGCTTCCCCCTTGTTTGGCCAACATGGAATCACTTTGTCGGCTGCAAGGTCTTCCATCACCACCCAACTAGATCCATCATAACCGTAGCCTTTCTTCTGAAGCTGCTCCTTTAGTTTCTGATAAGATGGGATCTTCAATCCCTTCGGGCACATGCGCCTCACCGCGGGCACCAAGTGCTGATCAACCATCTTGGTTTGCGCCGTAGTCAGCTTCCCGGGATGATCCATGTGGCGTGGTTGCTCCCAGCCTGTGCAGTACAAGAAGTTCAATGCCCAAGCCATCAATATGACCCACGCCCGAACTTCCGACTGAATGTCCCGGCGTAGCTCTAGGGCATCTAACGAGATAGGCAGGAGATCGGGGCCCTCAGGGGCATCTTGGGCTGTGGCCTTTTGACCCAAAGTCGTCCGAAACCTGCCAAACTTTGTCCTGAGATGCCCAGCATTTTCCAGCACATGCCAGGCCACTTCCAATGCATCCCGTTCCTCTGCAAGAAACCCTGCCATTTTTCTTTCAAACTTTTGTCTACGCTTCTTCCACAACCTGTTCAAGGCCTCCTCTTCAATTTCATATTCCTCCGAAGATGCCACTTCACCTTCGGGCGACTCAACATCCTTTTCGGACTTTCGCTTCCGCTGAAGCTCCCCTCTGGGGTCTGGGGGTTCACTGGGTTCCGCTGGGATTCGGTTTGCCAAGGCGCCACCATCTACTTCCTCTCGGCAGCGTCCTCGGCCGGCGTCTTCCCCTTTCCCTTCTCCTTGCTCTTTCCTTTCCCCTTGCCTTGGCCCTTGGCTCCGAATTCGTGCTCCCCTTTGCCCTTCCAATGGCCTTTTCCTTTCCATTCGGATGGTCCTCGGAGCTTTTCCTCCCGCTCCAATTCCTTCTGGATCATTGCCTCCTCCCCCCTGTCCAGAAGGGCTACGTCGTCTGGCTCCACCAGCTCGAGGAAGCGTGCCCTCACCCAACTGTTGTTGTCTTGCACGCTTTTCTCCAGAGCCTTGATCCTCTGGGCAATGATGTCGGCAGCCTGCGCTGACTTGTTCTCGACCAGTAGGTCCAGGAGAATTGTGAGGTACTTCAATTCTCTCCCGGATCGTGGAGTCCATTTCGCCTTCAGGTTCGGGACCAAGGCCACGTTGTAGTAGGACACTGCGTTTGCCTCGATGTTTTTGAGAATGCTCTTCCCCTTTTGTCGCAAGGCCCCCACGGGGACGCGCCCCGCTACCCCCATGGTATGGAGGAGACGGGCCGCGAGCCGGCCGGGGTGCCGCTGAGCGTAACGCTGCAACTTCAGAAACAGCGTCATCCCCGCGGGGGCCTTTTGAAAATCCGATTCCGAATCATCCTCGGCTTCCGATCTGTCGGGATCTTCATCTGATTCGGCCACTCCAAAGGGCCCTCTGTCTTTTGGCCTTTTGTTCTTCTTTTTGCCTCTCTTCTTTTTCTTGTGGCTTTGCCTCCTTCGGCTCCGTGACCTGGAGGGATCTGAAGGAGAACTCCGTCCTTTGCTCCTCTGCTTCTTCTTTCCCCTGCTTCTTGAAGTTCGCTTTTGGTTGCGCCCTGAACTCTTGTCAGAGGATGAGCCCTCATCGGAATCCGGCTCCGAAGACGATCCACCGGGTTCCGGGCTAGTCTTCACCTTCCGCGCGCTTCCTCGCATCTCACCTGAAAAGGGAGGGCTTCCCTTTCCACTCTTCGTTCTTTTCCGTCCCTTCTTCTCCTTCTTGCCTGCACCTTTCTTCTCTTCCTCGGTGACTTCAGCTGCTTTCACCTCCGCCTTCAGGGCTTTGAGGTCTCTGGCCAACTCTGTCAGCCTTTTCTTTTTCTTCACCAATTCTTCTTCCGACCCTTTCCTCTCTGTCGTTCTCTTCATTGCAGCCTTTTCCTTCCCGGACGGCCCTGGCGCGCTCTTCCCTTTCTCTTCCTCTCCATCCTCTTCATCATCACCTGGGTCATCCCAGGGCAAATCACCAGCTCCTCCAGCGCCTGGCCCTTCCTTTGGGACTCTTTTGAAATATGCCTGCACATGTCCATGCGTATCCTCATCTAGGATCCCTCCGCTGTTGTCAACGAGCTCTTCTTCCTTCCACTGTCGCCACTTGCCTAAGTGGACCACATGTTCTCCTGTTCCGCCCTTACATTCGGCGGGAGGACCTTTGCATATATGATATGCTCCGTCCACCGTGGTGACTGCCCCGTCTGGACTCGCAAGCCACCATCTGTAATATGGATCGGTAGCAGTCACCACGTCCCCATGCAAAGTCCTCCCGGTCTCTCCCGGGGCGAACAGGCGCTTCACCCACAAGACCACTGTGCCTTGTGGGTCGCCTCCATCGTCGTAAACCTCGCCCTCTATATAGGTCCCCTTCGTGGGACCTTCGAGGGACTTTCTCCCATGCCATTTTCCAGGCATGTCCCTACACCCCCTCCCCCCAGGGGAGGGTGGGCAAGGCTTGATAGCAAAACACTAGAGACAAACGAGAAACTAACTAGCTAACTAACTATGATATAACATCGCATCCCTACTCATTCGCTACACTACATTCCTAGGTGCTGCTAATTCCTATATTATATTGTGTCATCTCATCGTCATCTCATTTTGTTTCATCTTAATGTTTTGAATCATCATATATCATCTCTTCATTTCTTTAGTGCTCATTCATCTTCTGTTACTTCGCTTTTCTTCCCTTCTATTTGTTCTCTTCCGCCTACTTGCTTTCGGGCCACCCTGTCGTCTAGTTTGGACAACTTCTTTGCATTGCTCAAAACAAACTGAGGTCTCCAAGGAACTGTCTAGCCGCTAGATGAAAATACGCGATAGGTCCATACAAGCTAAGTCCAACCTCACACGTGAAACCGGTTAGCCGCTTAAGTCCAACCTCACACGTGAAACAGGTTAGCCGCTTAGCCTTGACTTTTGGCCACAATCGGCACATCCGTTGCCAAAACTTTTCGTCAACACGTTGGCCCGGCATCCTGCTGTCATTTCAATCGCAGTCCGCCCGTGCAGCTGGTGTCCTTCGTGGACTGGGAGCAGCAATCTTATGCTCAGGAGGCTGTCTGCCAACTGGACACATCCCGATTGCCTGGGTCTGCACACACACGGTCTAGACCGAAAAATTTTGTTTTTGCAAGCCATGAACTGGGCAAAATAAACGTGAACGGTGGCAATTCCATGGGCAAAGTCATTGCAACGTTGCACCGCCATTATGCGGAATGGGCCCCAAAACAAGAGGGTTGGACCCTGTCCATTGTCCATGTCACACTTGGCGTTGCATACGCCACACAACCGACCCCGAAACAGTCCGGAAATAGATTCCGATTCGGGGTTAATGCTGCAATTGTGGGGGTCATGAGTCATGAGGTTGCATTCCAAGGTGTTAGAAGCACGGGCATTATTTGTTCTTTTGCTGCATGAACGGCTGTGCGCAAACTTGGCCAAACCACCAACCCTCACCAACCACCAACCATGTGCCGGAGGTGCACATGGCAAAAGGATGCAACAGGATACAACCAAACGAGCAATGAGAACAAACAAGCCGCGTTGTGTACCGTGAGTGATTTTCCGCCACTTGGAGCCACGCGTGGGACGCAGGGGAATTGATCATATAGTAGATTCTTAGATCTGCGTATATATGCTTCCAAATGTGAGCAATG